TAGACAAAACAAAGAAATACAAGGAATCCAGATTGGTAAAGAAGAAGTTAAACTGTCACTATTTCCGGATGACATGATATTGTACATAAAAAACCCTAAAGACTCCACTCTGAAACTACTAGAGCTAATATCAGAATTCAGCAAAGTTGCAGGACACAAAATTAACACACAGAAATCTGTGGCTTTGCTATGCACTAACAATAAGCTAATAGAAAGAGAAATCAGGAAGAAAATTCCATTCACAATAGCATCAAAAAGAATAAAATACCTAGGAATAAACCTAACCAAGGAAGTGAAAGACCTATACCCTGAAAACTATAAGACACTCTTAAGAGAATTTAACGAGGTCACTAACAAGTAGAAACTCATCCCATGCTCCTGGCTAGGGAGAATTAATATTGTCAAAATGGCCATCCTGCCGAAAGCAATATACAGATTCGATTCAATCCCTATCAAACTACCAACAGCATTCTTCATTGAACTGGAACAAATAGTTAAAAAATTCATATAGAAACACCAAAGACCCCGAATAGCTAAAGCAATCCTGAGAAGGAAGAATAAAGTGGGGGGGATCTCACTCCCCAACTTCAAGCTTTACTACAAAGCCACAGTAATCAAGACAATGTGGTACTGGCACAGGAACAGAGCCGCAGACCAATGGAACAGAATAGAGACTCCAAACATTAACCCAAACATATATGGTCAACTAATATTCATTAAAGGGGCCATGGACATACAATGGGGAAATGACAGTCCCTTCAACAGATGGTGCTGGCAAAACTGGACAGCTACATGTAAGAGAATGAAACTGGATCACTGTCTAACCCCATAGACAAAAGTAAATTCGAAATGGATCAAAGACTTGAATGTAAGTCATGAAACCATAAAACTCTTAGAAAAAACATAGGCAAAAATCTCTGAGACATAAACATGAGTGACCTCTTCTTGAACACATCTCCCAGGGCAAGGGAAACAAAAGCAAAAATGAACAAATGGGACTATATCAAGCTGAAAAGCTTCTGTACAGCAAAGGACACCATCAATAGAACAAAAGGTATCCTACAGTATGGGAGAATATATTCATAAATAACAGATCCGATAAAGGCTTGACATCCAAAATATATAAAGAGCTCACCCACCTCAACAAACAAAAAGCAAATAATCCAATTAAAAAATGGTCAGAGGAGCTGAATAGACAGTTCTCCAAAGAAGAAATTCGGATGGCCAATAGACACATGAAAAGATGCTCCACATCGCTAGTTATCAGAGAAATGCAAATTAAAACCACAATGACATATCACCTCACACCAGTAAGGATGGCTAGCGTCCAAAAGACAAACAACAACAAATGTCGGCGAGGTTGTGGAGAAAGGGGAACCCTCCTACATTGCTGGTGTGAATGTGAATTAGTTCAACCATTGTGGAAAGCAGTATGGAGGTTCCTCAAAATGCTCAAAATAGAAATACCATTTGACCCAGGAATTCCACTTCTAGGAATTTACCCCAAGAATGCAACACTCCAGTTTGAAAAAGACAGATGCACCCCTATGTTTATCGCTGCACTATTTACAATAGCCAAGATATGGAAGCAACCTAAATGTCCATCAGTAGATGAATGGATACAGAAGAAGTGGTACATATACACAATGGAATATTACTCAGCTATAGGAAAAAAAACAGATCCTACTATTTGCAACAACATGGATGGAGCTAGAGGGTATTATGCTCAGTGAAATAAGCCAGGCGGAGAAAGACACGTACCAAATGATTTCACTCATATGTGGAGTATAATAACAAAAGAAAACTGAAGGAACAAAACAGCAGCAGAAGCGCAGAACCCAAGAATGTTCTAATGTTAACAAAGGGAAAGGGACTGGGGAGGACGGGTGGGAAGGGAGGGATAAGGGTGGGAAAAAAGAAATGTGGCATTATGATTAACATGTATGGTGTGTGGGGGGGCACGGGGAGGGCTGTGCAACACAGAGAAGACAAGTACTGAATTTCCAGCATCATACTATGTTTATGGACAGTGACTGTGAACGGGTATGTGGGGAGGACTTGGTTAAGAGGGGAGCCTAGTAAACATAATGTCCTTCATGTAATTGTAGATTAATGATACCAAAATAAAACTAATATAAATAAATAAATAAAAAAGAAAATGTACTATGAGTAGACTCCTGAGTTATTTAAATTGCTGACAGGATTATGCTTCCATTTGTGATTTTCTTTATTTTTGTCTTTTGCTTACGTTTCTCCCCAATTATGTTTAGAATATTTTGACAGGCAAGAAAAGAATTAAGCCTGTACACAGGTTAAACTTCAGTTGTTTTTAGGCAGCTATAAATCTTCAAGTACTTGAAGTGGTTATGGAGTTTGGAACCTAAATAACAGAAATTAAACTCTGAACCTGTTTGCCTGTATCTCAGTTGTTTTTGTTTTCTTTTGTTTCAAACCATTTCTGTGGCACCATTAACAATTTATTTTATAAATCAGTGTGACCAGTTCTGGCAATAAGAGCAATAATGTTTCAAAAATGTTTTTAATCATAATAAATATTAACTCATAGATTTTTCCACTTGTTGAAATACTAGAAAATTTCAATATTCTTTCCAGCAGTGCACTTTTCCCTCATTCATAGAATACATATTCATCATATTCACTTTTTCACATGTTAAGAGTTCTTACCAAGGTTATTATGATAATGTCTATATGTAATCAGGTGGTTTCTAATCTATGTATTATTCACTACAGTTTGTGTTTTTTTTGCAAATGACTGGAGTTAGGCTGAGAAATAACACAAATTAACCTACATGTATATTATACCTCTTATAAAACTGCAATCTTCTTTTGCCAGTGGTTATATTTTTGCTTGATTTAAATTTGTTTTTTTCCTCATCAGTTAACCCTTGGTAACAAAGAGTAAATTAATATCATAATAATAGAAAGGTGGGTGAAGAAAGAAGACAAAAAGCAGTAGATCATATGCTCCAATCTTTTTTTTTATTAAGGTGTTATTGATACACACTCTTATGAAGGTTTCACATGAAAAAACAATGTGGTTACTACGTTCACTCATATTATTGTGTGCCCCCCATATCCCATTGCAGTCACTGCCCATAAGTGTAGTAAGATGCCACGGAGTCACTCTTTGCCTTCTCTTAATCAACTTCAGGACTAATAAAAATGCAAATGCAGTTGAGTATTTATTGATCCTGTGCAGCTTGAAAGTGTCAATGAACTGGGATTCTCTCCATTTAGCCAAAATGAAAGGAAGCCAGGAATGAAGTTATTCTGTTACACAAATATTATTAACATTCTCCAGAAGATTTCACTTGGATCCACAAGGTTTCTACAGAGAAATCCTGAGGTGGCTTTTACATTAAACGAGACATTAGACCTATTCTGAAGTAACCAAATGTCTCTTAAGTTTATCTTGTAAGCTGCAAGATAAATGTTCTACAACACTACAATATTGTTCACCAACTTTAAAAAGGAGTGAAATGATGTTCGCGTCAAAGAATTCTATTGAAGAGACTGAGTAAGCAAAAAAGTGAGCCTATTAACAGATATGTACCACTGAAAAGGTGTGTTTTACTCCATATAAATGTAAAAACCAATTTAAAATTAAAATAAAACCTTGGGCTTTGGAAGTAAACACACACAACAATAATTAGTCTTTATTTCTCATAACTTTATTAATACTTATATTAATGAATAAGAAAACATGCAATACAGAACCTGAAATAGAACAATTAATACACATTTGCCACTGGACTACATACTGCCATCCTGGACTACACAATATCCAGTCTTCTCACTGCCAAAGCAGAGCTGCTTTGGGATGCTGTTCATTTTCAGATGCTGTATGATGTCACAGAGGAGGAATCTTCCCAAAATACAAAAGTAAATACATATTTCATTAAATTCCAGGTATTTTAAGGAGGGATAGCATAAATTTCACACATTTTATTTCTAAAAGTATCACATACAATCACTAAACAATTGCCTTCATTGTTTTTTTTCATTTGTGCACACACATTTTTCCGAGTAGTCTTTTCATTACTACTCTGCTGTTGTCAATTTGCACTGCTTTAAAAAATTACATTTACTGAAAGCACACAGATGGTTAGTGTAAGAAAGCTACTACGAATGAATATTTTAAGGCCTCTGCATAAAATTGCTCTGGTGTGGTACTTGCCACGTAATACAAATGGGTTCCTGTCCAAATATAGTTCAGCTTCTCTTGATCCCAGGTTTTTCAGGGTAATTTTACCAGTTGAAGATAGCCAAAATAGTGTCTAATGATTGTGCTAGAAAGTTTAAACATGACTATAAATTCGGTTTGGAATAAATATGAGGGGAGGAAATGATAACCATACTGAAAAATATAAGTCAGAAGAGTGTTAAAAAAAAAAGGAGAGCCTAAACAAGTAGATGTTCATAAATGTACAGGAGGAGGTATATGCACATTCAGCCTTAATGTAAAACAACAAAAAAATTAATGTTGAAATATACATGTGGGTAAAACTTAATTTTCCAATGACTGAAAAGTATTTGTGTGTATGTGGTATCATTACATCTTAAGGATTGCTCAATATTTAATTTTTTAGTCTATTTTTCTTGATTTTAATGAAAGTGTGTGACAAATATTAGTTTGGGAAGGCACTCGTCATAACTGTCGCCAGTATACAATAGCACTAATCATTTAACAACCATTTTTTTCTAACCAATTTATATTACTAAAAACAGAATGTTAACTAACTAAAACAAGACTACACGAAATGTACTCTCTAAATTTATCACATTGTTTGTATTATATGTAAGTTTGTTTTAAATACAATATTAGCTGAAACTTGAAGATAAAGTTCAAGAAAACAGTGGGTATGCAGTTAACATACAAGAAACACAGTGCTTGAATACATACTTACAAATGTGGTATATTAATGCTATAGCTAGTAAATTAATAATCACATGTAATTCAACATGACCACAAAATAGAATAACCAGTCTGACTGAACATACTATTATCATAATTTTCATTCAGTTTGAAGTTCAGATTTTAAATGAACCTAATTTTTTCTTTTTTGAAGGGAAATATTTTTGAATTGATAAAATAAGATTTTTGTAGGTTCAGGACTCAATTTTTTGCATATCAGAAGAGCCACCTGTGAGCTTTGTCAACCTATTGCTCTGTCCATCAGTTCAAAGAATTTGCAGTGTGATGAGAAAGATCTCATCAGATCTGAAGCCTTGGATTTTTCAGGTTGCCAAGACCAGACCTAGTGGAAGCTTAGAAAGAGAATGCACAGGGGAGAATAACTGGGCTCACCTCCCTTGACTCTTTGGCTACTTCTAGCCTGCTTCCATTCAAAACCTCTCTGGTACAAATCCAGAAAAGGGTGCCCAGTCATTCAATATCATGAACACAATCTAAATCTGACTGTAAAATCAGAATTAGAAAGGGCAACAAAAGCATATTTGTTCATTCCTATAGCTCTAGGAAAGGTATCAAAACTTCATGAATTTTTAGACACGAGCCACCCTTATAACTCAATAAATCACACTATCAGAAAAAAAATTGCCAAATATCTAACTTTGGTTCCTATTTTGATTTTCACTAACACAGATAATAACCATTCATATTTCTGACACACAATTTAGTAATATTTCTTTCTCCTTTTTATTTATTTTCTTGTGTGCAGACTTTAACTAAAAACGTGGAGTGGAAAAATGTGGAAATAACTGAAACAGAAGAAAACATTCTCACTCACATTATCTTTGCAAGTTTTTAGAGAAAAAGCATTCTAAAACCTACTGGAAGCACTGATTTCATCATTCCTCTGTTTTTTTGGTTTTTTATCTTTCCCAGGTTTAAAATCTTCATCATTAACAATAGAAATGACAATATAAACACATGTACACAGTCATATTTCAACAAACTTGCAAACATCATCTGATCTTCAGGATTCAAGTGCACTTGGAATACCATTAACAAACACAAAGGAGAAAAAAAATCAATGTCACTTATTAATCAACTTAAAATGTCACTAATTAAACTCTAGGAGTTAGAAGTTAAGAAGTTATTCTCCACACCAAATCAAAGACTGAAAGAACTTCACAATGGGAGCAATATATCCTCAAAAGCTACGTAACCTGCTGGGCACATAAAGAGAAGCTTTCTCAACATTCAGCAGAAACCTTCACCAATGAAATTACACATTAACCACAGTTTATATTACAACATTTACACACGGCTTAATCACAAATTACATATCTCCAAGTTACATATTATGAAGTCTACATCTAATGTAATCAAGAAGAAATATTCACTCCCCACCGCCCCAGCTAAAACAAACATCAATTGTCTCTTGGTTTAGTGTAATACTGAAATAAGACATTTTCTCATTTTTGCAAAGGAGAAAAATTAAGTTGGTGGTGTTTCTGTAAACTGATGAAATGTGCACATAGACAATCATGGCCATTTAGGACAAAAAAGAAAACAAAGAACAGACAATGGAAGGAAACTAATGTTTCCTAGGAATACTGCTATATTCTTTACTTAGAAGGACATGTTTTGTTTCATATATGAGATCTTGTTGGGGTTTTTTTTGTATTATTAGGGTAGTTCTTATCTACCCCAACAAGCAGTCATGAACCTCATTTCTCCCTCTGCACATCTCCTTAGAATTCTATACTGTAACATGTTTGATGTAGATTTGTAATCACATCTCTTGAAAAGTGCCTTCCTGACTTTCATCTTATCAGTGAATTTCTTCAGTAAATTGAGCTAGAATGGCAAGAGTCCCTTAGTCATTTAGGTTTAGTATGTGGTTTTATGTACAGTTATATTTATTTGTTTATTCTTTTTACTAAACATCTTTTGGTATCAGCCTATCAGCTGTCCAATCAACATTTACATAATCTTGATATTCTCTAGAAAACAGCAATTTACAGTAATAGCTGTAAATGAATCATGCATTGAATATATTTATACCTTCCTTGTGATTTTTCTAGGCTGTTATATACAAATTTCAGAAGATAAAGACCCAATGAATAATGGAATTAAGGCTTAAAATGGCAGATACAATATGACTTCTAATGCACTTTATTCTAAACTACAAAGGTAAATTTAAAAAAAGAGGCCCTTTTTAGCAAATAGTTGCCTAATTTGGGCACAGTTATTGCACTTCAGTGTCTCGAACTCTACTAAAGAGTAGAGAAATAGGTTATAGACATAAATCTGTACAGTTTATATATGTTCTTCACTGGAAAGGTATACACAAATTATTTAATAATATATTCTTGAAATAAAGGTAGAAAACATAAAAAATAGAGACAAAATATATATTTACAGTCCCTACTGTGCATTTCTGTATAAACACTCACAACAAAAAAGTGGAGAAACAGCAAACAAATATCAAACAAAAGGACAAACAAAAATGCCACTGTAAAGTAATTATACCTGCTAATATTATCTGAACAAAAGTTTAGAAAAACTAAAGGTACTTTAGGAAAATCAGATATCTGTTAGTTTTCCATTTGCTACGTACTGGGTCCACAAAAATTAGAATGGAAAAAAATCAGTAATATTGCACATGTTGGTAAAAATAAATGAAAAATTTACAGTGCATTGGAAATAATATATAGTACATATTAATATCTGTCATGATAAGCCTTTCTGTACAGAGGGGTGTGAATTTTTCAATTTCATTTCTTTTTTAATACACACCCTGAATTAAGCATGTTGTAAATTTATTTTTAGCTTGTGACTAAGGGTCTAGCTCTAGACTTTATTGTAGTATCTGTTTCTATTTACATAGCAATTTACAAACCTAACAATTTGGAATATTCATTGAAATTGGATCTTAAACTGTAACTATATACATCCTGTTGGAAAATGTGAAGAAGTTGTAGATTTATAAGGGATGTTCTTCCATAATGGGGGAATCACCCCTAGAAGGTCTGACCTGCTGGCCTGGAGTGAAGGTTGTCAGGGCAATGACTTTAATTGAATCATCACTAGGATGAAGTCTTTCAGACATGGTGTAAAACTGAGATCTTGTACTACCTTGCACTCCCTGATCAAGAGAAAGTAGTCCATCAGGTCCAGCACTTTTTCCCCAACCTTGCTGCACACCCATTGGTGGCTGTGCAGGGCTGCGATAGAGAGCAGCAGCCTGTGGGAGAGGAGGGCTGTAGTGGTGGGCTGAGGCCTGTGCTGGTGGGGGGCTGTGGCGAAGAGCAGCAGCCTGTGCTAGAGGCGGACTGTGGTGGAGAGCAGAGGCCTGTGCTGGTGGAGGGCTATGGCACAGTGCAATAGCCTGTGTCACCGGAGGGCTGTGACAGAGGGCAGTGGTCTGTGTCACCGGAGGGCTGTGGCGGCGAGCAGAGGCCTGTGCCTGTGAAGGGCTGGAATGGGTCAGAGTAGCAGGCATCCAGCAGGCATCAGAATGGCCCAAGATGAGACATTCTTGAGTGCAGTTGTCAGAGGCCTCTTCCACAGTTGGCTGAACAGTTATTTCTGCAGCTGGTGAGATAGCAAACAAATGATAAAATTTATATTTCAAAGGCATATTTTCATTAACAAATCATATGTTACAGGAAAAGTGAATAATATGAAATTTTGAAATTTCTGAAATTTCAAAATACATCAAAGACTTTCAATATTTTCACAGTTGGTACTTGATTTGTCAAGCAATAACTCTGAGGGAAACATAAATAACCAGGAGTAGGTAGATGGGGTCTCATTTTTATAATTAGGATATGTTGGCTTAATCTCCCTAGTGTAAATATTTTTAATTGTTTGTGACAATAAATGGAAATCATGGTCATTGATCTATACACATAAATCAATTGAAATATGGCTCCTAACAGGAGAGGACATAAGAATAAAATGAATGGGAAGACCAGTCATAGAAACATAATGAAGTAACCATTTGGTTAAGAATATAATTAATTAATGTGAGAATAAATCAAAGGATAAATTAGGTTAATTTGGAAACAGCTTAGTGAACTCTAAGATATGACTTTTAGTTTCAAGAATGAAACACAGCTATAATTATCTCAAAGATAATTGATTTCTGTATTCCCCATTTTCTGAAGTTACGATAAATCAGAGTTTAGCAACATGATAAACAACAGATCCAAAGTACTTAGCTTTAAACTATAATACTTTCTAAAACTCTTTTATAAGGTCTCCAAATGACACTAGGTATCAAATACCAATATGTATCCCACAAAAGGCTAGAAAATAAAGATAGAGTGCTACATCAATATAAAGTCAACATTAGAGCAAGAAATGTTATTAGGTATATGATCGCTATTGTATCATGATAAAAAGGTCAATTCTCTAAGAAGATATGACAATAAAATAATAAAAATTAAAAACAGAAATTCAAGTTCCTATAAATCTTCAACAGGATACAGAGTCCAGGTGCTGTCATTATCCCATCACACTTAAAACCAAAGAATAGGATGTGAAAGAACTCTCTTATTAATACCAATTTTCTCCATTAGATAACTGTTTACTTTTCTTCACTTAGAGGACACTTGAAAATGTCCTTAGGAGATTAATATTTAAAATATCCTGTCTCTGCATAATTATATTTGAGAAATATTTGGGAAGATAGAGTTTTAGGTATTTGGGGTATTAAGCCATAAAAACATGCATGGAAATACATGAACACAAATATAACTATGCTCTAAAACAAAGTTCTGTTCCCTAGTCATCGGGAAAGCAACTCATCTGGCAGCCTTAAATGTTACAACAGATGAGTATATTATAGTCTCAACATTAAGATATATGCTTATGTATATGCCTATATATGATAAGAAAATTGATACAAAGTCATTTTTGCTGAAAGAAGATATGATTATAATCATTCTCTTTAAAAATAGCTTCATTTAGGTATAATTCACATACCATAAAATTCACCCAAGTGAACCATTCAATTGCTTTCAGTATATTCACAGAGTTTTACAACTAATCACCTCAATCACTTGGGGACATCCTTATCACCCCCCAAAGAAATCCTGTATCCATTAGCAGTCACTGTCCATTTCTCTCCAAAATTATACAGCCATAAGCAACCATTAATCTACCCTTTGCTTCTACAAATTTACTTTTTTTGGACATGTAATATCAATGCCATCTTGTAAACGGAGTCTTTTATGACTGGCCTGTTTCATTTATTGTTATTTTTAAAAACATTTTTATAATGAAATATAGTTGATATGAAATATTATATTGGTTTCAAAAGATATAGAATGCTTCACAAATCTGCAAGTACTCCTTGCTCAGGGGCCATGCTAATCTTCTTTGCATCATTCCAATTTTAGTATATGTGCTGCTAAAGTTAGTGCATCATTTAGTATAACGTTTCTAAGGTTCACCTATGTTGTAGCATGCATCAGTACCTAAGCTCTTTTTTTGCTGCCTGCGAGTATACTTTGTATGGATATACCATCTTTTATTTATTCATTCTTCAGCTGATGAACATTTGGGTTGTTTCAACTTTTTGGCTATCATGAGTAAAAGTTTTTGTGTAGACAGGTATTCATTCCTCTTGGAGATGTACCTAGGACTGGAGTTGCTGGGTCATATGACAACTCCGTGTTTAACTTTTGAGGAACTGCCAAACTGCTTGCCAAATCGGCTGCACAATTTTATATTACCACCAGCAATGCATGAAAGTTCTAATTTCTCTACTCACTTTCTGCAGCAATTTCAGGTTGGATCTTGACAGGGATTGTACTGAGTCTGAAGATCAGTATGTGATGTATTGAGTTTTAACAGCATTAAGACTTTAAATCTTTGAATATAAAATGCCTTTCCACTTATTTAAATCCTTAATTTCTTTCAACAGTATTTCAGAACTTTCAGAATACAAACCTTGCACTTATTTTGATAAATTTGTTTTTAAGTATTTTATTCTATTGTAAATGGCATTCTTAATTTCATTTTAGGAATGTTTATTGTTAGAACATAGAAATACACTTGATTTTTATATATTGCTCTTACAGGCTTTAGTGCTGCTGAGCTTGATTTCTAGTATTAATAGGTCTTTAGTAGATCTCTTAGAATTTTTTATACAAGATCATATAATCTCCATATGGAGATAGTTTTACTTCTTTCTTTGCAATAGGGAGGTCTTGTATATCTTTTTCTTGTCTGGTTACCTTGACTAAAACTTTCAGTATAATTTTTAATAGCAGTGGTGACAGCAGACATCCTATGTCTTGCCCCTGATTTTAGGGGAAAACATTGAGTACTTCACCATTAAAGTATTTCCTAATTTCTCCTGTGGTTTCTTCTTGGACCAGCTGATCATTTAAGAGTATGCTGTTTAATTTCCCTGTACTTATAAATTTCCCCAAATTTCTTTCTGCTATTTCTTTCTAATTTCATTCCACTGTGGTCAGAGAATATACTCTGAATGGGTGCAATTCTTTCAATTCATTGAGGATTTACAGCCTAGCATATAGTCTATCCTGCAGAATGCTGCATGTGCACTTGAGGAGAATGTATATTCTTTTGTTGTTGAATGGAGTTTCCTACAGATGTCTTGTAGGCCTATTTAGTATAGAGTACTGCTCACATCTTCTATTTCCTTATTATCTCCTGCCTAGTTGTTATTATACAAAGTGGAGTATTGAACTCTCCAACTGTTATTGTTGAATTGTCTGTATGTCCTTTTAATTCTGTCAGCTTTTGCTTTATGGTTTTTGGGACACTGTTAGATGCATATGTGTTTCTAATTATTATATCTTCCCGATCATTTGACCCTTTTATCATGATAAAATGCCCTTCTTTCTCTCTAGTAACATTTTAAATTTAAACTTTTTGAAATTTAAATAAATCTACTATTAGTGTAGTCACTCTAGCTTTATCATGGTTTCAGTTTGCATGATACAACTTTTCCATTATTTTTTATTCAATTTGTTTGTATTTTTGAATCTAAGGCCTGAATCCTTTATGTACATATTTGGACTTTCTTTTATTCAGACTAACAGTTTCTGCCTTGTTTTGGGTTGTTAATTCATTAATTTTTTTTATGGCATGGTTGATATAGTAGATTTTTATCAACCATTTTTTTTTGTTTTCTGTGTTTCATGCCTTCTTCTATTTCTCTATGCCTCCTGCAGAGCTTTTGCATTAGGTGAATACTTTCTACTGTAATACTGTAATTCTTTTAATTATACTTTTCACTATATATGTACAGATAATATATGATGTATATAGTGCTATATAAAAATATATACACCTACATACATGTGTGTTTATTATGTGTGTGTGTGTGTTATTCTCTTATTGGTCTCTAGAACCTGTGATCTTAACTTACCAGAATTATCTCAGACTTATTATAAGTTAATTCCAGTCAGATATATAAATATTACTCCTGTATATTTGTATTCACTTTTCTCTTTCTGTGATACACACACATATCATATATATTCTATATTGTATCTGTGTATGTTAAAAATCCGGTAATACATTAGTAGTTATAATTATTTATATACTATTTGTTTTATGAATCTGAGGAAAGAATTGGGAAGCAAGTACCTAATTATAAAGTTTGTTTTACTAACTTTCCTCTTTATCATTTCGGGTTCTCTTCATTTTGTTCATTTGTTCCTGTGGATTCTTAGTTACCATCTGGTGTTGTTTTATTAACTCCAGTTCAACTTTGCTCCTACCCACCTTCTCTGTGCTGTTTTCATAAATATATATAAAATTTAAATCATGTTGCTATGTACCCACAGACTCTGAGAAGGGACTTGTGTTCATCAAAGGGGAGGGGTTGGGGAAGGTGGGTGAGAGGGAGAAGGGGATTAAGGGGCACTATAATTCACAGTCACAATAAAAGTAGGTCATAGGGAAGGCAGTACATCATGGAGAAGACAGTTAATGACTCTGTAACATCTTACTATATGCTGTAGACAGTGACCCAATGGGGGGTTGCATTGTTGGTAATATGGGTGAATGTTGAAACCACAATGTTGTTCATGTGAAACCTTTATAAGATTGTATATCAATGATACTTTAATAAAAAAAATGCTGCTATGAACATGGCTGTACAAATATCTGAGTCCCTGTTTTCACGTGTTTGGGATATAAGCAGAGACTAAATTGCTTGGTTCTATGGTAATTCTATGTTTAATTTTTTGGTGGAATCAACATACCCATTTTCTACAGCAGCTTCAACATTTAAATTCTGAACAGCAGCATACAAGGGTTTCAATTTCTCCACATTGTACTCTACACTTTTTATTTTCTGTATTATTTTTAACAGTCATCCTAAAGTATATAAAGTGGTGTCTCATTATGATTTTGATTAGCATTTCCTTAGTGATTAATGATGTGCAGCATCTTTTCATGTGTTTATTGGCCATTTGTTATATTGCCTTTGGAGAAATGTCAGTTCAAATTCTTTCTCCATTTTTTAATTGGGTTGTTGGGTTTTTTTGTTGTGGGTTGAGTTGTTAGAATTCTTTCTATATTCTGGATATCAACCTCTTATTAGATATATGATTTACAAATATTTCCCCCCATTCTGTGGGTTGCCTTTTAACT